AGAATAGAAGAGCTTGCTTTGCAGGAAACAAATCCCCCATAGTCCATTCCTTTCCATTCAGCGCATAGTGCAGCAAAAAAGTCGGGAGCAGTTGAATGCAATGTCCTTTCCCCACACTCTAAAAATAATGGATGCTCAGTGCACTCTGAACATATGTGTATGGATGAGTGGGAGAGCATCCCTCTCCAGCCCAAGATTCATTGCTCCTCCTCCCAACCCTCTACTCTCTCACCGTCCCCAACACTACCACCCCACCTCATTGCTCAAGGATCTTTACCATCTATTACTTTCTTATTCCTTCAGCTTTCATTTCTCCATTGCTACTAGATGCCCCCTTTCCTTAGACAGCTTAAATCTTTGCCTTCTAACAAAAACAAAACTTTCCTTTACCTTATTATTTTCCTCTTGCTCTTCAATCAACAAATATCTGTGAGCCTGCCATGGCCCAGTTACTACATCGTGTGCTGGACTTTGGAGATGCCATCAAGGAGTTCCCAGACCAATAACGGAGCTCAGGTGCCAAGAAGCTTCTCTTCACAAGGAAACTTCTTGCCATAAGTTCAACTCTCTTGACTGTCTTCAGTGAAGACTATTCTTCACTGTCTGATCACAATTTTCCCTGCTAGGACCTCACCTCTAGTCCCACCAGCTCACTGCAATTACTCTTGCCAAGGTCTTAGTTGCTAAATCCATAGAGCTGGTTTCATCCCTCATCTCACTTACCTAACAAACACTGTTGGCCACACTCTCAAACTTAGAATTTTCTTCTCCTTTCTCTTCTTTACATTAAACTATATGAAGTAACAGTTTTTGTAAATCAAAAACAGTCAAATAGCCAAGATTTGGAGGAAGAAAGGATGAGTAGGTGGAACAACAGGGAATTTTTAGGGAAGTGAAACTATCCATATGATATTATAATGGTGAATGCACATCACTATACATTTGTCAAAATCTGTGGAACGTACACCACCAAGAGTGAACCCTAATATGAACTATGGATTTGGTTGGTAATGACGTGCTGATGGTGGTTCATTGATTGTAACAAATGTACCCCTTGGGTGGGAGATTTGATGTGCGGGAGGCTGTCTGGGGTGTGATGAGAGCACGGAGAGAGTATAAGGGAACTAGTTGTACTTTCACTCAATTTTGCAGTGAACTTAAAACTGCTCTTTAAAAATTCATCTATTAATTTTTCTAAAAAGGCCAAATATCAGCAATTTTACATGGTTCAACCCAACAGTTCTACTCTCTTCCTCTCTGGCTGTTCCTTCTAGGTCTTTTCAGGCTTACCTCCCTCAGTTCCTTTCTTAGCTGTTGGTGTTCTCCAGGGTTCTGTGTTTGCTTCTCACTCTGAGATCCCCACAGGAAAAAGCCTTCTGTCATTAGAATCTTGCATATCAGGCTCCCAAAAATGCTCTTCCACATCTCTTATCCTATGACCTCAAAATACTGGGCAACCACCTCCAAATGCCATGAAGGTTGTAGGTTGCATTTCTGCCAATCTCAGACACAAACACTGCTTCCAAGTTTGTGTGGGGAGGATCGAGTGCCAGGAACTTTCCATCAAAGGAAAAGAAAAATTAGCCTTTTAAATTCTTCCTCTCAGATAACATGAATGCAATAGATTCTTTTATGAGAATTTGTCACTTCCCACTACTGCCAAACATCCTTTTTCTTGCTTCTCTTTGGGCTCCGATTTGTGGTTCCAGAGGTGCTCACAAATTAGCACAGTGTTTGCAACAGTTCCACATGATATTTTAGAACACTTTGCAATATTAAGCAATTTAAATGATTCAAAATATGTATATCTGTAAACCTAGACATCACGCATGAAAATTGATGCTGATTTTTAACTATCATGGGTTAGGTTTCCTGGGACCAAACTCTGAGACTGAAATTTATTAGAGTTTTACAGGGAAAAAACACTCAGTGGGGAGGGGCATTGAGGGAAGCAGGATTGGGCAAAGGGAGAAATTGAACTTTGATGCAATTGTTGATGCAGAGCCTCGGTCGATACTACCGGAAGCTTCGGAGCAGGGATGGTTGGCCGCTCAGATTTATCCCAGTGGTAGCACCTCAAAACTGACCTACCATTGAACAAAGGCAGTTCCCAGGGAGAAGGCATAACCTAGGGTGAGGCAGGTCCCTTCAGCAGAGAGCAGTTCCTGGAGAGGGAGCCATCAGAAGCAAACACCGCAGCAGCTGCAGAAATGAGGCCTCAGTCCTGCAGGGAATCTGGATTGCACATCTTAGTGTCCATCACATTGATGTGGGCAGCTAAATAGACTTTAGATGGTAGAATTGCAAATTCTATAATATTTATTAAAATTTTAATACCGTTTGTTTAAATCTTGAAAAAATTAAACAATTTTCATTTTATTTTGTTGGGTTTTTTTTAATTGTCAAAGGAAAGCCTACGAAAATGACACTAACATGGTTGAAAAGAAAAATGTATACAAGCCAGAATTCTGGCCAAAAATAGAGAAGTCACATATGTCTCACTGTTTATACTTGGCACTGTGAGTTGTGAGTTCAAATGTGCTGCAAGTAATGACATTCTTTGGAAGAACTCAAAGATTACACATAAAATTTTATGGATCTTCTAAAAGACAGAAATCTTGATGAAACGCATAGCAAATCGGACCTTATAACTGCTTTGAACACGTGATAAGAATGCCCACTAAATACTATTACACTAAAGCAATTAGACTTAACTAAGTCTAAAATAGATGATACATTAGAATAATTATGTGAAACAACAGAAAATCCTCAAATAAAGAGCAAATTGTGGTCTTTGTTAGAAAATGAAATTATTTCTATACTTGTTCTGATTAGTTATTTGGTATGAACTATTGTTTATTATTTATTATAAAAATAAAGAGATTAAATGTGGATGTTTTATTTTTAAAAGAAATTTGAAGTATTTTCATTTTAGAGTAAATTATTTTTCTAGATGAAGAGAAACTACATGTGGAAAAATGCAAAAAAAAAAAAAAAGTGGCATTTTAATTAAGAATAAAGAAATTAGGGCTTCCCTGGTGGTGCAGTGGTTGAGAGTCCGCCTGCCGATGCAGGGGACACAGTTTCGTGCCCCGGTCCGGGAAGATCCCACATGCCGCAGAGCGGCTGGGCCCGTGAGCCATGGCCACTGAGCCTGTGCATCTGGAACCTGTGCTCCGCAGCGGGAGAGGCCACAACAGTGAGAGGCCCGCGTACCGCAAAAAAAAAAGAAAGAAAGAAAAAAATTAGAACAAAAACCAAATCTGTTTGCATAGATGTGAAGAAGATTCACCTATAAATAATCCTGAAACTAATTTCTCTAGAGACTATTTTCTGGCCATTTGAGATCAAGGCACAATCTCAATTGAGACTAAGAATGACAACAAATATAGATAAGTTGTCTCATTGAACAGGAACCCCAAAGAAGATCAGTGTTGCCTGGGGAACCACTACCAGAAGCTAAGAGAGACTGAAAGGATAAGGGTCCAGGCCCAGTAGACCTACTTTGACCTTCTGATAAGATTTCATTAGAAGAAAAATGGGGAAGGGTTCTGCTACTTAAAGAAAAAATTTAAGCCACTGATCTAAATTAACAATGTGATTTTTTTAATTTACATTTTTTATTATAAGTATATTTTGAATTTTAAATTTTAATATTTTTTGAAATATTTATTATTTTATACCTACTAAGACCTATCTTTCCTATTGGCCCCTGCAGTTTAGGGTGGCATTTGGGAACACAGGGGTAAAAGAGACCACTCAGCTAGAAGAATATTGAAAGACTTTACTGGTGTGTGGTATCCTATACTGCAGGGAAATAAGCCATTGTTCCCATTTTTCACATATATATTTTAATTCAAAATATGACTATAAGTTCCCCAGGCTCCTTCCAGGAGGTGTTCCTTCTCATTAATTCATGTAACAGAAGGAAAAGAAGGTAAAGTCTTTATGATCTCTTGCGTGGGCCTTGAATTTTCTGCTGTTCTATGGTCTATAGCACCCTTAAGAGGCAATGTGTTCAAAGAAGCCAGTGGCCCAGATTCAATGTTATCAGTAACTATGGATACTGTTCCAAGTATAGTTATAGCACTTATTTATTCCAAGTTATCAGAGACTAATTTGAGCATGTCAATAGGACAAGATATTGAGTCAAGTTCTTTGTATCCTCAAGTAATAAAATTCATGAGTATTTATACACATCAATAAATGTGAAGAAGGAGTTACCAGTTAGAATGCTTTAAGCTTCATGCAATAGAACATCCAACTCAAAATGGTTTAAATAATAAAGCTATGCATTGTCTCATATGACAGGAAGTTGAAGGAAGAACAGATTTAGTGTTAGTTCAATCTGCAGCCCAACAATGTCTTCAAGACCCAGGTTCCTTCCCTCTTTCTGCTCTGCCTACACCAGCATGTTCATCTCAGGCTAACTCCCCTCATGGTCCAAAGATGGCTGTCGAGATGCCACCTGCAAACACAATGCTCTGGAGCAGAAAAGAAACTGTTCGTTTTCATAGATCTCTTTCTAAGAGTACTGAGAAACTTCTCCAGAGGCCCCTCAGAACAAAATGTCAGGGCTATTGGTCAGAATTTTGTAACATGTCCACACTTAAAACAATCACTAATGAGAAGACTGGGACCACTTTTCTGGTTTAAACCAACCATTATCTGCTCCCTGGGACTCCTTAGAAGCACATGGCGGGTAGATAAGTGAACACAATTAGAGTTCTGTTCGTTGCCAAGGAAGGGTAAACAGCTTTTGCTTCTGAATGTCTGAATAATGTCTTAAATTGTGTATTCATACAATCCGTTTCAACAATTTAGGAAATGGTAAATCTTTATCAGTAGGCCTCACTTTTCCCAAGTCTTTTTATAGTACTTAGTTAGACCAAAACAGCTTGCAGATATTCATCCATCCACTTATTCATTCAGTTAAGATGTTCAGAGTACCTATCATATTCAAGATATAGTTCACTTATGGAAGACTCAATAAAGCAAAGTTTATGTCATCACTAAATTTATTATTTGGAAAACGCCAAACTTTAAAAATGATATAATAGTTTCTCATGCTGTAATGTGAAGATGACTTTCAAATTAAATTCACCCAAGTTCCACAACATTTTCAAGGTTTCTAGCCTAAACTTACAAATACAATTTTCTTAAGAGAAAGTAATGGAAACAATTTGGATAAAGTATTGAATTTAAGAGTTACAGGGGAATTCCCCAATGGTCCAGTGGTTAGGACTTGGTCCTCTCGCTGCCAGAGCCCCGCTAAGATCCCACAAGCTGTGCTGTGCAGCCAAAACAAAAAAAAAAAAAAAGGAAAAAGAAAACAAACCAAAAAAAAGAGTTATGGGAAATGGTAGATTTATTCCAATAATCCTGATTGACAAATATCAAACATAAAATATTTATGTCTGTAAAATATGGGAATGTGATGATGGGAGAAAACCCAAAACAATGGCATTTATTTTGGGAAGATTATCCTGGAAGAGTTATAATAACAAATTTGAAAACTATTATAGGAATTAGACTTGAGGTTATTTAGTCTAGCCCCGCCATGTACTGATAAGTAGGGAATAAGAGAAGACTCTGCCATTAACTGAAAAATTCCAGGGACATCCTAAGAACTAACCCCAAACCTGGTATTCTCCAGGACACAAAAACTTATTTGTTTTCCTTGGAGATCTGAACCAGGAAGTTTCTTCTCACGTTACTCCTAAAAGACAACCCCACCAGATGTATGTCAGGAAAAACCAACTAACTGAATTAAAATATGCAGAAATGCAGGGAAGAGAAGACTAAAGAAGGGAACCCAGAGAGAAACTGTGATGGTATTAAGAATGATTCTATGTTTTTGTTTTATTTTATTTTAACTATTATTCATCCTGGATAATTTCTGTTTTGAAAATGGGTATCTAACTTATTCTATAAAGAGCTCAGTAATCAAGTAGCAGAAAGGTAAGCATTCTGTCAGCACCTCAATAGCCCATAGGTGTGGGCATTGGAGAAAGGCACGCTCTCCAGGTGGGAATAGCTTTTCCAGGAGAGTAGCTTGATAAGGGGATCCTGACTGGATTTCAGCCCCCTCGTCCCCTTGGCTAGGGGCCCTTGCTCAGGGTACACAACACATAAATGTACACAGTGGCCATGCATGCTGGAGGACAAAAATTTGGAATTTCTGAGGTTGTTCACCCAGACCCAGAACTTGAATGCCATGTACAAAGTCAGGATAAATCCACTCTACCAAAATCTTTTTTCATTACTGGTATCTTCAACTGTTGGCACAATAATCTTAATCATCTGACCTTTTAGAGGCAATTTCCTCATCTTGGCTGGACAGATCAGGCTAAATGCTACATTTGGCCCTATTTTTAAATTGCCCAGATGGTGTGAATGGGTGTGTGGCGCAGGGTGCCCACATAGGCTGGGCTACTTCCAAGGACTATTTGTACCTTGGGTGTAACCAGCAGCTGCAGACAGGAGTGGGGAATGGAAGTGAAGGAATGGTAAGGGTAGGGTCAATGCCTTTCTTATCTGAGTAAAAGTGATTTCACCAATTACCCTGGGAAATGCTGAGCTTTAGTTTGGATTTCAGAGGGGTCACTCTTGGTCACCCATAAAATGGCAGCCAGGTACCCAACTCCCAAGTTCACACATAGTCACACAGCCAAACTGATTCCTTCCAGCCCTACCAGTGCAAATAGTGGCTGGAACTCAAAGACAAGCTTGTAGCTAAAACTGGCTTGGGTCCAAGCCCAAGCTAGCAGCCTGCAGCCCAAATCCAGCCCACCGTCTGCCTTTGAGCAGCCCATGAGCTAGGAATGTGTTTTTACATTGTGCGTGGTTGGGAAAAAAAAGTCAAAAGAATACTAATATTGTGTGATGTGTAAAAGTTACATGAAGTTCAAATATTCACAAATAAAGGTTGATGGGAACACAGACACGTTCATTTGTTTCCATATTGTCTGTGGCTGCCTTTGCACTCCAATGGCAGAATTGAGTAGCTGCAAGAAACCGTATGGTCACAAAGCCTAAAATATTTACTATTTGGCCCTTACCAGAAAAAATTTGTCAATCCTAAGCTAAGACATTAAACATGTTAGAGATGGTAGATAAGAACATCTCAAAAAATAAGTTTCAGGCAAACCAATAAGACAAAGGCTATCAAATAGCCACATTCAAGTCTGAACCCATAATTAAGACTAAGTGATTACCCTGAGGATTAGGGTAGTAAAAAAAGGAAGGGACATGCAACGTCTACACTCTGCACTTGGTAAGCGTGGAGATGATAACACCGTGTTGCTTGCTGCCACATCTCCATCCTAGGCCACTTCTTAGAGCTGGGCAGGTGCTCATTAAATAGTTATTCAGTGAATGAAAAGGAAGGGAGTAGGAAGAAACATAAACAAGTGAAGCAAGAGTTGCATAGGGTTAGGAGTGCAAAAGGGACCCCAAGTACAACGACTTGTCTACCCTCATGTAATATGTCATGATTCTTAAAAGGTAATAGAAATGCACGTTTTGGAAGCTAACATATCAAATGCTAAGTGTGTGCCCAGGAGACTAAGAAATGACTACGTAACTACGGTGACTGCCATGATGCCCATTCAAGCCCACCTTGTCCCACTCCCTTCCGTAGTCACCAGACACTCGTCTCTTTAGTCCAGAGACTAACTTCAGACTTGGAGATTAATGAGGGGAAGGAAATCAAATCTGAACCTCATGAAATAAACAGCACCACTTGTCACTGTTGATCTTTGATTAACTCGCTCTTTTTTCCGAACCAGGGCCTCTCTCTCTCTCTCTCTCTCTGTGTGTGTGTGTGTGCTTGCAGGTGACACCCACACATATCCTTCAGTGTTGGCAGAGATGCTCACTCAGATAACAAATGGAGTTCATGCTGCACATTTTCATCGTCGTGTGTCATCATCACCAAGCAAAACCACAACTATAGGAAAACAAAGCTGTTTGCTGCTCTTCTGTCTCAACTGACATTTCCACCCAGCTCTCACAATTTGTTCTTTGGAGCCAGAGGAGAATTTCAACCTGTCACTGAGATAGCTCTGCCAGTTGAAGTGTAAGTAGAACCCGATCCACCCCTACTCGAAGATAAATTCACCTTTCTGTGACTTTTTGTCCCCTAGAATTCCCAGCATTCCAAAACTTTTCACCGAGTTTACACAGGCAAATAAGATAAGGAAATGGGCTTGGGAAGTCCACATTCTGGCCTTTAGAGTGGCCTCAATAACGAGGTCAGCTCAGAACAGATGAAATATCCTTGGATCATCCATATTTAATCCTTAATGTTTTTCAAGCGTGGAACCCAGTGTCCATACCCTGAAAAGAACGAAAGGCACACTGAGGAAGCATGCTCCATTCTTCCCTGGACAGTGGCCTGGGTCTCTAAGTGCTGAGAGCCTGGGAATCTTCAAGCGGAAAGCACTCATTCCTTTGGGATGCCAAATCAGAGAAAGTTGGGAGGTCCACCCAATCAGATTCATTCCAGAAGAACCAAACTTCTTCTGAGCACCACTATTGAAAAGCCAAGAGTTAGTGCCTCAGCTAAGGAGATGCAGATAAGGTAACAAACAGGTTTCTGGTGTGGCTCCCAGACCATCCCATTTGCTGCTGCTTAGGGCAGTGGTCAGGGCCCCCATTATGATGGATCCAGAATTTTCTTTGATTTTTCTCACTCATCCATTATCTCTGTTCCAGACAAAGGGAGAGAGGAGAAAGTGTACTGCTTTAAAAGGAATCAATCTCTTTTATCAGACTGGATTAAAAAAAGTGAATTCTGGGCTGCAGCAAACTACACTCTTCACCTAGTTATGAAGTTAGAACGTGGTGGGAGGTCTGTTAGGTGAAGTCATGAAGTTTGCATTTTATTTCATTTTGCACTTGAGTTTCAAGGTGCTAGAACCTTCTCACAGAACTAGGTTACACTATTTATATTAGCCCAGTAAAGGAGTGCTTATTGAGCCGATACATTTAGTGCCGGAGTTTTTACCAACTTATCCTTCTCCAGTTGATTTGGTTTGTCCAATCAAACTCATGAGCTAAGTCTTTCTTGGAGTAACAGGTTTTGGTTATCTTTATTAAGTTTAATGAGCTCCATTTCAACGAAGAAAATAGTCCGTTTGGAGATGAACTCATAACACACCTATGTGACGTCAGGCCACACTCAAAGCACAATTTGCAATGAAGTAATAGGAGTTATTACATGAAATATCAGACCAGCTCTTGTGTCTCTTGTTCAAGGGCCTTTCCCTACCCACAAGAGGATAGCAGTGTGTGTGTGTGTGTGTGTGTGTGTGTGTGTGTGTGTGTATATGTGTGTGTGTGTGTGTGTATGTGTGTGTGTGAGTGTGATGATTGATATGTCTGATTTGAATTGTCAACTTGCTCCAAATGCCACAATTTTGTTTGTCGTTGTTCTTTTATTTTAAAACTATTGCAAGCCATTAGCATGTTCAGTTATGACAAGAGCTTGACAGGTGAAGAATCTGAAATTGTCTGTCCCCAGCATTCCCATCCTTGAGCTCTTTATGAATCACAGCCAGGCAAAGCATTTATAGAATTTGTTGGGGGCCAAGGGAGAAAAAATAAAAAGAAAGAGCAGCAGTTTAGTAGTCGGATGGGATTTTAACAACAAAGGCAACATTTTCAGAAGTCTTAGACTAAAGGCATGTTTAAAACATAGTCAATACTCCATTAAGAGGGAAGTTGGGGACTTCAATGGGAAATCAACTTAATTTCAACTGTGGCTTATTTAGCATGACTTTTTAAGATGACTCTAACAGTATTGGTTTTCGTCACTGCACAAACATTTCTAAAATGTAAATGAACTTATAGCTACCAGGTTTTCTTTCACCAGGCTTAGCTGTGTGTATGTTTTACATCCTGTCTCACTAATAAAATGGATTTTTGAGCTTATTAATAGGAAAGTGGAAAACAGAACTGACTCTCTCCTTCTCAGAGTCTGATTAGTACATTTAGACTGACAATTAATTCATAAAGGCATGTGAAATTCACTCATTCAGTCGATAAATATTTGTTACCTGTCAGGCACTGTTCTGGGCACTGGAGATATGGCAATAAACAAAGCAAAGTTCAATCCCTCCTGGAGCTTGCATTCTAGTTTGGGGAATTAGACAGTGAACAAATAAGTTTAAAAGTCAGGTATAAGAAATGGTGAAATGCTATGGAAAAACAAACAAGCAAGGAAAGTAGATGGGGCTTGGGGAGATTTTACTAGGGTAGAAGGTGACACTTGAGCAGGGACGTGAAGGAAATGAAGGAGCAAGCCAGGTAGATATCTGGGGAAAAGCATTCCAGACAGTGGAAACAGTATGTGTAAAGGCCCTGAGGTTGGAACATGGCTGTGATATTTGAGGAGGAATATATCAGAAAGTATGTATATACTTATAAGAAAGAGATTTCCTCAGCCTCAAGAGCCCTTGCAGATACCAAAACCTGGGCAGTAACAGGTCTATAGCAGTGATGATTTTGGTTCTAGGTTCATCACTGCCACCATCTCCAACCTCCAGCATGTAGTTAAATTTAACACTTTGTGATCAATCCCCAGGCCTGCTGTTGCTCCTGTGCAGCAGTACAAAAGGCCGGGATGAGGGATGTGATATCCATTTAACCACCAACATCCCCATTAAATTAGCCATGAGAACTAGTGGCTCAGTTAGTTAACCTGAGGGATTGATGGAGTTAAGGCTGAAGTTTGATCTCTCTGATAGAACATTTACATCACACAGAATGCACAGGTAAGCCCAGCCTGACATCTCAGAGATATAATCCATTGGTCTGATGAGAAGTTGTGACTTAAGCCAAGCAAACAAACCAGAAGTGTACTTTGCTTTGAAATGAAACTAATATTTAAAAGTCTGGATTTTTTTTTCAAGGCTAAACTAGAGATTTATAAAAAGGGTTTATCTCATACCTTTTTTAAATAACAGGTTTTCTCCAGATTCATCACCAAAAGTGAAGCATACCTGCTCTGAAAAACAGTATTAAAGCACAGATTTAAAACAGGCACATGGTAGTTCAGCAATTTTATCACTGAACACAGAACATAATGTATACTTCGTCTCTTTATTTATTTATTTTTGTTTGTTTGTTTGTTCGTTTGCAGTATGCGGGCCTCTCACCATTGTGGCCTCTCCCGTTGCAGAGCACAGGCTCCGGACGCGCAGGCCCAGCAGCCATGGCTCACGGGCCCAGCCGCTCAGCGGCATGTGGGATCCTCCCGGACCGGGGCACGAACCTGCGTCCCCTGCATCGGCAGGCGGACTCTCAACCACTGCGCCACCAGAGAAGCCCACTTGGTCTCTTTAAATTGGTATGCTCATCCCCAAATAAGTGAGCTCACAATCAAAAATTATAGAACCACTATTAATTATAAGACTCTTACAATAATAGCAGCAAATGGCATTGTTTTCTTCGTAATTGCCATATCTGAAACTGTACCAGCATTGCTTCAACCACTGTTCTTAAACCATTTCTTGGTTCACAGTAATAGTGAAAACGGACTTCCCTGTTAACATTTCTACTTTGGTTCTGTTCAGAGTGAGTAAGAAAAATCTAAAGTATGATTCATCTTCAGTAAACCTATTTTTCCCATCAGAAAATAAAACCATTTATTACCAAAGAGCAAATCTTTCCATTTTTTAATTTATTTTTTGTCATTGCCCTTTCTAAAATTTCTCCAGCTCTGTCCTTTTCAAATTCAATCTGATAACTTGGATTAAGGAACTCTGTATGCCAAGAGGCTGGCAATTTGGCACATGTGTCAGTATAAATTCAACAGTTTTCATCACCCAAGGACTGCTAAGTTCGACCTTCTTTGAAATAATTTAATTCATGGAATGGAAGCCCATTTAAAAATCAACCAAAGTACAATATCCTCTGAATGGAATTATAAGATTTCTACTCCTCCCCATGTTACAAAAAAAAAAAAATTAGAGAAGACCTCTTTATATACATAAAAGTGAGAGGCAGAATGCTGTACATCTTACTGCAAGCTAAAATATTTTGAAACAGGAAATGGGAGGGAGTTTAGAGGCTTTCAAATTTTGTAGCACCTCATCCCTGGGTAGTGAATTTAAATTTGTGTTATAATAGTCTCTTCCTTCTCAGGTCATTGCCCAGTTTAATTTTTATACATAGTTTATCTATATGACAATAATAATAATAGCTAACATATGTCAGGCATGGTACTATGTGCCAGGGCCAAGCAGAAAAAAAAAAGACAAACTTGAGACATGCCCTCATGGAAACGATAGTATAGGAACAGACATTTGTGATCACTATCTTCATTTTATAGTTGAAGAATCAGAGTCTTAGAAAGGCAGTGACTCGTCTGAGGCCAACTAGCAATAGTACTTGAGCCAGGCCTATCTGCCTCTAAAACCTAGACTTCTCCAACATCTGAATGAATCAAAGCACTGAACAAATTATAAGGGCAGCAGTAAAACCATTCTTCAAGGTCCCCAGACATACTCCAGTTGACCCAAACTGGAGCCAGAAAAATATTCATGGTGTTTCCAGGGTCTGGCCTTGCCTGGTATCTTGAGAACTTTGATGCTATCTCAAAAGCATCAAACACTTTTCCATGTCGATGGACCTCCAGGGTAAACAGGCAACTGAACCACAGAGTTCTGGAGCTCTGAGCCCTAAAGCACAGAAAGTCCCAGAAAGAAGCTCTCACCATTTCTCCTTCTGCCTTCTGTCTTCTAGAAAACTCCTACCAGATGCCAGCCACCCCTGCGGCATGTGGCAAGAATTGTGTTGTTCCCTTCAGAAGTTTCTCGAGACCCATCCCTCATACTCTAATGGATGCCAATATCCCTTTTTCACAGTATCGTCACTTCTCCAGGAGATGCACTCTCAGCATCCCGCTGTAGCTCTCCATGCAGACAATAAAGAAACTAACTGAGCAAACCTAAAATACATGGAACAGAAAAGGCCCCTGTATGATTCGACTGAAATGAGCTACTAAACAAATAACCCTTCATAGTATTCAAATAATTTTGACATCAAGTGACCTTATTTCCTGACACATTCTTCCTTGGTGTGGGAGGACTACTTTATTCTTTTGAAATCATATTGTGAAGATTACCTTGAATTCCCATCACAGGGAGTAAGGAAAGCAAGTTGGTTTACCTCCCATTGCTCTGAAGGGATTCCATTGGTCAAAATGACTAATAGGACCAGAATTCATCAAAAAGAATGTCTACATCTTTACAAACTAAAATAAAACAGCATTAAATAGGAACTAAGTGACTCATTTCATGAGTGAGAGACAGTGTTTTAAGGGTTTTTTAAATGTTTATGTCTCCCTCCCCCATTCCAACTTATCTCCACCCAAAACCCCCATTTAATCAAAGGGAATGATTTCCTAACCTTTTCTTCTCCACCTAAAAAGTCTTTCGATATCACACTTCACTTGACCGCAATATGCAGGTGAATTAGAAAGGAGTGGAACTGGAAGCAGATGTCAGGGCTAACAGAATCCGCTCACTTTCAGTTTTCTACCTTAACCTCTCAATCAAGTCAATAAATACATGGTGAGTTTGAATTTGGGCCATGGCACTACACGAGTCTGCCACAGTAATATTCTTTAACTTCATTTCAGAGTCTCAAAATGATGTTATTCGGCCTATTTGTTCAAGAAAAATTAGCATTGGTGGCCTAACAGGAGGCCAAGGTGGCTGGCTGAAGACGAGGCAGTCCTTTCCTATCCAGAGCAATGGTGTTGAGCAGGTGAAGAGGGGCCAGCCGGCTTGCATCTGGATAGGCGTCCGTGTCAGGAACGGTAGGCTGCAAAGTCCCGTGCTGGCGCATAGGGCTGGTAGTGCTTTCGGGTGGGCCCCGGCCTGCGAGGTGTCATGTTCATGTAGTCGCTCTGAAGCATCCTGTTTCTCTTACTCTTCATCTGCAGAAAAGAGAAATGTCACTGTGAAGGGGGCCAGGGACACAGAGGGAGATATCTGGGAGGAGTGCTAAGATTTGGGGGCAACTCTTCAGAACACAGTCAAAGGAAGCTGAACAAACCAGAATTCATTGAGCACCTTGGACTTGCATAATGACCAATCAAACCCAACTACTTTGGACTCTTCCAAATTAACCTGAAAAATCTGAATCAAAGAAAGTATTTTAGAGAAATGCACTCCTGTTACTCTCAATGCAGCCATTTGAACTGAATTCCAAAAGCATATCTAATTAACATATCCAACTCTGATATGTGAATATTCTCGAAGGCCCTTCCTCCTTTGAAAAGGTTAAGCATCCCCAATGCAATCTTCTTGTATTAGTCATTTCCTCAAGAAGCCATTTTTTTACACGATTAACCAAAGAGGACCTTTAGCCCTCCAGAGTCTGGAATAGTCACAATTTCATAGCAGTGGAGTCCAAATTAATTGGATGTTACAGTTCTAGACAACTAGTTACAGTCCTATTCCTTTATATGTATGTATATTTCCATAAATAAAGACAATAGCGTCATTCATCTCCATCCCTGAGACACAGCTCCCTCTGGATGAATTTCTACCAGGAATGAGGGGTGATCCTAACCCTAGAATTAGAGTTATACTCACCACAAATCTTAGCAAAGTTTTGACTGAAGGTTAGGAACATATTTTCTCAATCAGTGTGATGGTAAAATTTACATGTTTGATAAAAGTTCCATAAAAATTCTAAAAGTAGAAAGCCATCCAGATTTCTGGATTCAGAATTCTCCAGAATGAAAAAAAAAAGTCTATTTCTTGGCACATAGGCCTGGCCTGATGCATAAGTAAATATTGATACGTTGGACATGAATGTCATGAGCACCAGAATAAATAAGCCAAAGACTGGCCTTATTTCCATGCACTCCTACCTGAGCCCTTCCCACCTTCCTTATCAAAGGGGCAGGAGTAAGTGTTAAAGGTTGGTAAAAAATGGACCTCCATATCACTAAATAAAACTAACATGTCTTCAGGCCTCATCTTTTGAGCTCTCAGCAGCATTCTAGATTATCCGTTCCCTTCTGACATGCTTCTGCTTTGCCTTCCGTGAGGTGCTACCACCCCAGTTCTCATCCTGCCGCTCTGGGGCCACTCCCTCCTTGCCTCCTCTGCAAGCTCTTTCTTCTCTAACTAGCCATTCAGCGTTAGAGTTCCTCATGGTTTGGTCCTAAGCCTTCTCCTCTACTCGTGCCATCCTCTCTCCCTAGGCAACCTCGTCCACATTCACAGTTTCAATTGCCACCTATTCACCCAAATTTATATCTCTGGACTAGACCTCAAAGGTACTTGAAACTCAACATGTCCAAAAAGAAACTCAAGATCTTCCCCTAAAACCTGGTCTTTTCCAGTGTTTCTCGTCCCAGTGAGTGACGCTACCATATACACAGTTGCCCATACCAGACCTCCTAAGCCTCATCCTTGACACCTCCAACTCCCTTATCCTCTGTCCCAGAGGACATTTTACAACATCTGAAGACATTTTGGGTTGTCACACTGGGATGAATGCTACTGGCGTCTAGTGGGCAGAGGCCAGAGATGCTGCTAAACATCCTACAATGCACAGGGCAGCCCCTGACAACAAAGTATTATCCAGCTCAAATGTCAGTAGTGCCAAGAAATCCTGATCTGAAGAGTCTGATCATGAAAAAGAAAGGAATGAAAATGAAGCAATGGATACAAGCTATATCACCAAGTGAGAATGAATATTCTTAGACTGCCTGAGTCCTCCTTCTTGCTCATACTCAAAGATGACTGATGATTTGAGCCTGGGTGAGCAGGAGGTTGATGGTCCATCCATAAGTATAAGGCAAGATGATAGGAAAAGTGGATTTGAAAGAGACTATCAATTCAGCTTCGGTCATTTGGGATTTGAGATGATGGATGAGGTTATCTAGCTGAAAGTAAGAAGAGGACATCATTAAACAGACATAATTGGGGGATGCATTCAGGGAGAGGTAGCTATGGAAACCAAGGGGGTGAGGGAAGTTGCCCTTCAAACATCTTGGTTCTACATCCTTTCTATAAATAAAGGACTAGAGTCCTCTTGGGCACAGGGTTATGGCAGGGCAGGAGTAAGGCAAGGAATTGTCTGCCCCCCACATAAATGTGGAAGGCTGCTGCTGATATCCTGGGAGGCATTAGAGTACCTACTCTAACTCTGACGACTTCCCTTGCCAGACTCCTAAGAGACAGACTTTGCTTCTGGACACTCAAATTAAACTATAGCTAGTTAGAGGGGCCCCCATAATGAAGATGCCTTGGCTCTGAGGTTCTCTGGGTTGCACCAAACTTATGAAAGATCTGTTGCAATCCGCTCCCATGCTTACCCTCATGCTGTTATCAGATAGCAGATTTAGTCATTTTCACCCTAACTGTAAACACAACGGTGGGATGGAAATGAGACATGCTGGGAACAGTATACAGAACCCACAGTGTCCATGTTCATCTAGCATATGCATATACGTGTGCAGAGTACTCACCTTACATGTCTCTGTGACTAAGTCATTTAGCCCTTCAACATTCACTGTCTGCTAAAGATGTGTGATTTCAGGACCACTCCTCCCTTTCTCTTCCTTCTACTCCCATCCTTACCAACTTGTTTCTCGGAAGCAGCGGAAAGACACAGGCATACACAGGGCAATTCATTTAAAGGACATGGTCTTCAAGAACCCACTGGATTTAAAGGCAGATACTACCTGTACACACTCTATCTACATTGCCCACAGTGTGATTTATAGTGGAGAAAACTGTGTTTTTTAAAGGCTCCTTTAGACTAAGAAGGAGGATGGGTTTACCATCTCAACGGAGTGAACTGAGGATTGAGTGAGAGTGACAGGTGCTGGTCTGTGGCGGCCTGGCAGAGGGGAGCTCTCATTCAAATGTCATCTACAGGTCAAGAACTGAGATGGAATCTGCAGCTGTTCCCAGAAACCCACTCAGCCTAGAACTGCCTACGGCAGTACATCACAGACCCTCAGGAAGTTCCAGAAAACAGCATCTTACACCAAGGCACAATGCAGACCAGCCAAAAATAGGATCCCAGAAAAGTACCCTGGAAATGGCTAAACTCTAGGGATGGATCCCTGATGACCTGGCTGCCTATCTCAGCGAGTTGCTTAAACAGTATCCAGAAAAGATGAGCCCTGGGTAAAAATGCTCTGTTAGTCTATGAAATATACATATATATTTATTTCACACCCATTTGGTCAGAGAGTACAAAGACCTATGTTTGAGATGCAGATAAAGGGTACTTCTTATTGGGTAACCTAATTAACCACAAGAGGCCACAGAAGAAGATAAGGTATGCCAAGCACTGGGACTTCCCAATTTTCAGGGAGCTCATGAGACAGAATAAGACCAAAATAAGTTTTCTCAAGACAAAGGAAGATGAACCTCACTAGGAATTAGTAGTGCTGCCAAAGAAAAACATATTGCATTTACGATGTTTCCAATTTAAAAGTAAACTTTTTTAACTCATTGAAAATAGAAGCTACTCTTGTCCCTTTGGGTAGCTCGAGTCACTTAGCAAATTAGTCCCTGCTTATAGTAACTGATATTCTAGTGTATATTGACAATAAGTTTTAAATGGCGAGCAGTATCCTTCTGGCCACTGAAAGTTAAAACAGTTTTCCAAAACTACTTCTTACAAAGCTGGTAAAGTACATTGACTTAGGTCAGCATACTACAGGGGAGCACCTGTCCTGGAAATGTACCCCAAAAGGCACTGCTCCTGGCTTTTAGATTAAGAAGTTGATATTCCAAGGGGATCAAGATAAAAACAAGACCTGAGGGCTTCCCTGGTGGCGTAGTGGTTGAGAGTCTGCCTGCCGATGCAGGGGACGCGGGTTCATGCCCCGGTCCGGGAAGATCCCACATGCCGCGGAGCAACTGGGCCCGTGAGCCATGGCCGCTGAGCCTGCGCGTCCGGAGCCTAAATTCTAATGTTATTGGCAAACTCCACAGAGGTTCAAAGATGAAAGGTAACTAGGATGAAGACACCAAGATCCAGACTCAACTGACATCAGAGGAAGAACTTAGGCAATATTTCAATACATAAAAAGCCCCCATCAGGGTTGGGCAACTTGAAGAAGGCAAGATAGGCAAATTCTCATGATCTGATATAAAGGATTTTCAGGAACAAGCAGCCACTTTGGTGGTTACAGATTTTGTTGGAGGTACAGATTAGGCAACAGGAAGCCTGACAAGCATCTATCTGCCCCCTAGTCTCCCAAAATGGGAGTAGCATTTGGGGAACAAGGGAGAGGCAAACTTTGGCAATAGGCTGAGAAGAGTTTAAAAGGATCCCAGGCTGAATCTATCCTTGGCATGACTGTGAACCCAGGGCTTCCTTCCTCCTCCACCCCGACCCTGCCCAGCACCAAGGCTATAGTAAATAGGATGGCTTCAACATGGCATGGCTTCCAGAAATCACTGATCCATGTATGAATTAGTTAGATGTATGGAATATGCCTTAAAGATAAGTATGATACTTCAGGCATACTCATTTAAGTCCTTAGTTTGGCCTCTATGGGGGTTATCAATTCATCAGTTCATAAGCATTCTTTAAGCACTAAGCTAAATGTACTTAATACCAGATGGATGGTGAATGTCAAGAGAAACAGTCCCCTATCCTTGAGAAGCATACATACCCTGTTGAGGAAATGATTCATACATGAATCTAACTTCTAGAAAAAAATTCAAAGACAATATGGAATCAGTGCCACACTGTGTACGTAAGAACTGGAAGTTCCTGAGTAAGAGAAAGGAGAGAAAATAAGGAGGTCCCTGCCTCGCAGTAGATATGGTTATCAATACGCATTCAAATCTAGGCCAAAACTTCAACGTTGAAGAAGGTAGAGAAAAACACACCAAGTTTATTGCATGAACATTTGCAAAAGTTCGTAAACTCCAATTCAGTGGCAAGAGCTCAGAAAAGTCTAACTCCCGTTATAGTTTCATAATGACAGCACCATACTTGGCCTCACAAAATTCAACTGCTTCAGAGGAGATAAAAATATGACTCAGATAAACAGACCTAGTTTCCTTGCTAGGTTTGAATGCATAATTTCAGTAGACAAATTTCTCATGATTTTTGACCCCGAACCAAAGTTATTCATTGGCTTCAGTTTCTTAGATTCCCAAGTCGCTTAGATTTTTATACATATGTATATATTAGAGCTATTTTATATGTCATAATGACATTGCAAAGTGGGGAGAAGAAAGGTAATTTTCTACCCTAATTTATCTCCCACACTTATTTACCTGTTTAGCTTCTTACTCTGCTTGGCCACCTAATCAGTGTCTTCTGAACATAAACTCACATCAGATTTTTATCTCAGATAAAGTTGGATAGGCTAAAAGAGGACCTACTGAAACCTAGCAGGGAAAAAGAAAATAATCACATGTTCAACAGAAAATAAGCCACATAGGCAAAATTCTTGAATATGTCCAACTGCATATGCAGTAGAAAAGTTACATGAAAACAATGCTGTTTCTCTTACCCAGCAGTTAGAAAGAGCCACTGTTGCTAGCAAGCTATAGAAAGCTAGGACTCCGTTTACCACCACAAGTGCCCAAAATGGCTTAGAGGACTCAGGAGACCGGGGAGCTGGACAAAGATGTTTCTCTGAAAAATAGAATAGATTAGATTAAATGATATGGGAATGGCACTTGGGTACATTTCCTTCCTTCTTCTTAGAGGAGAATGTGAGAGGAATCAAAATATGCAAAATATCACTGGCTTAAGAGGTGTAGACTTCCTCGTTGGTCTGTCCTCTTTGGGAGTTAGCCAACCCCACCACTGATCATGACCTAGTTTTCAAGACTGCAGTTGAAAACCACTACTTGAGAGTGGACACTGGTCGACCCGTGCGTTACCTTTCACATGGATAATGGTCCCATTACTCTTCTCATTGTCTATGTAAGGAGGAGGATACAGAACCTCGATTTTGCAGAAATAAATATCCGTTTGGTTAACGTATAAATCCTGGAGGTAGAATGTCACTGTTTCGTTGCCCAAGTTCACAGTGCAGTTGAATTCCTTGTTTGTAGACTGAAGTGACTTGGAGTGATTTCCATTCACAGCACAGACCTCCACAGCACTATCTACTCCCTTATAAAGGGATGCCCGGAACTCCTTCGAGAAGAGGTTGTAGGTATACTTGCAGCTGAGGTTGACCTCATTGTTGTTTACCACAAGCATGGGCGACTGATTCACCAAAATCTTGTTTTCTGGATGGGGAAAAAATCATTTGCTTAGAACAAGAATATAAGGACTTTTTTTCTGAAGTCAAGATATATTAGTTAACAAAATAAACAGATCTCCAGCAAAGGATTTCTCTTGGCAGATGAAGACGCAGGAGCTCTTTGGAAGATAGTTATCCTGAGAGTTTACATTTTGATATTATTTTCATCCTCCTTTGAATGGAACAGTGGAGCATGTTTTCACTTGGAAGGCAGAACGTGGCCTTCTGTTGGCATTGAACATCACAGCTATGCATTTGGAATTTTTGAATCTGTGCTGAGGTTCCTAACATGTTAATCATGCTCAATTAATTTTCTAATTGAGTGTTTTACTTGGAAATGGCTTTTAACACCTGACATAAACAAATAGATTTGTATTTTAAGTTGTGATTCAGCCTTTTGTGAAGGAATTTAAATGTTTTGAAACATTTTGACTTTTTTTATTGGCTGTTCCAAGAGTAGGATAAAGAGGTAAGAAAAATGTAATCCAAAGAATTTAATTTATCCTCCATAGCAAATTCTGAAAACAGCCTTGTCAGGAAGTTTGCATATTTGTTTCTTTAAATCACAGAAGATGGAAGAGGCCCAAGAGGTCCACAAGAGTTCTTTCTCTAGCCCATCTTCTACCTTTATGCTATCCTAGTAAACGATCAAAAAATCTGGAGACAACCTAGTTCAATCTCTTCACTTTTAAAGCAAAGAACCTGAAATCTGCATGATGGAAGAGAACATATCTATTCTATCCTGTTTTTCCCCACTATTCCCCATTCCCTAGCACATGACAATATATTCCCTTTTCTTGTAGTGACTGTGTGAGGCCTACAAACATTGGATGATCTGTCTAATGTCACTGAGCAGATGGTGAGCAAAGCAAGGACTGAAACCCAAGTAAACTACAACCACCTGAGCAATGGGCCACTCAAGCACTGAGAATCGACTTTGCAACCAACACTCTCCAAAATTTCTTTAAAACAATAAATCACTTTGATTAAAAATTCAATACAAACAAAAAACATTTTTGCTATTGTTTTTAGGTATACTAACAATTGTCTGCCTGTTCACATTTTTTTTTAAGGGTTATTTGAAGCAATATCCCCCATACCCATACTAAAGGGTCAAATCATCTATTAAAATGAAATTTACAATTTAACCTGGGTTTGAATCCATGTACTCAAGTCTTTTGTTTTTGCTGTGGAGAAAACGGAGCTGCATAGAACTAAATCACTAATAGCTTTTCATCTTTTACATAGTTCTCAATGCTAGCTGTACATCAAGAACCTGTGCCTGGGTCCCATTCCCAAAAATTCTGATCTAACTGGTCTATGCTGGTGGAGAGAGGGATCCATTCTTTTCATTTTTTTATAACAATTTATTAAGATATAATTCATGTACCATAAAGCTCACCCTTTTTTTAAAGTTCACCCTTTTAAAGTAAACTTTAAAAGTTCAGTGGCTTGGGCTTCCCTGGTGGTGCAGTGGTTGAGAGTCCGCCTGCCGATGCAGGGGACACGGGTTCGTGCCCGGGTCCGGGAAGATCTCACATGCCGCGGAGCAGCTGGGCCCGTGAGCCATGGCCGCTGAGCCTGCGCTCCGCAACGGGAGAGGCCACAAAAAAAAAGTTCAGTGGCTTTTTATTACATTCACAAAGCTGTGAATGGATCACCACTCTCTGATTCCAGAATATTTCATTACCCGCCAAAAGAAATCCCATACCCATTAGCAGCCCCTCCCCATTCCTCCTTTTCTCCAGCCCCTGGCAATCATGAATCTATTTTCTACCTCTGTGGATTTGCCTATTCTGGACATTTCATATAAACGGGATCATCAATATGTTGCCTTTTTTTTTTAACATCTTCATTGGAGTATAATTGCTTTACAATGGTGTGCTAATTTCTGCTTTATAACAAAGTGAATCAGCTATACATATACATATATCCCCATATCCCCTCCCTCTTGCATCTCCCTCCCTCCCACCCTTCCTATCCCAACCTTCTAGGTGGTCACAAAGCACCAAGCTGATCTCCCTGTGCTATGCGGCTGCTTCCCACTAGATATCGGTTTTACATTTGGTAGTGTATATATGTACATGCCACTCTCTCACTTTGTCCCAGCTTACCCTTACCCCTCCCCGTGTCCTCAAGTCCTTTCTCTAGTAGGTCTGCGTCTTTATTCCCGTCCTGCCCCTAGGTTCTTCATGACCATTTTTTTTTCTTTAAGATTCCATATATATGCATTAGCATACGGTATTTGTTTTTCTCTTTCTAACTTACTTCACTCTATATGACAGACTTTAGGTCCACCCACCTCACTACAAATAACTCAATTTCATTTCTTTTTATGGCTGAGTAATATTCCATTGTATATATGTGCCACATCTTCTTTATCCATTCATCTGTCGGTGGACACTTAGGCTGCTTCCATGTCCTGGCTATTGTAAATAGAGCTGCAATGAACATTGTGGTACATGACTCTTTTAGAATTATGGTTTTCTCAGTGTATATGCCCAGTAGTGGATTGCTGGGTCGTATGGTAGTTCTATTTTTAGTTTTTTGTTGCCTTTTGTATCTAGCTTCTTTCACTTAGCAGAATGTTGTCAAGGTTCATCTATGTTGTAAATGTATCAGAACTTCATTCCTTTTCATGGCCAAATAATATCCCATTGTATGGATATACCACATTTTGTTTCTTCATTCATTAGTTGCTTTCACTTGTTGGCTATTGTGAATAATGCTGCTATGAATATTCATGTACAAGTTTTTGTGTGGACGAATGTTCTCAATTCTCTTGGGTGTACACCTGGAGTGGCATTGCTGGGTCATTATGGTAACTTTGTATTTAACTTGTTAAGGAACTGCCAAACTGCTTCCTAAAACAACTGCACCATTTTACAGCCCCACCAGCAGCGTATAAGGGTTCCAATTTCTCCACATCCTTGCCAACACTTGTTGTTGTCCATCTTTTTTATTATAGCCACCCTAGAGTTATGAAGTGGTATCTCATTGTGGTTTGATTTGCATTTCCCTAATGATTTGAGCATTTTTTTCATGTACTTATTAGATATTTGTATACCCTTTTTAGAGAAATGTCTATTTAGATCATTTGCCCACTTACCTGGGTTGTCTTGTTAGTGTTGAGTTATCAGAGTTCTTTACATATTTGTGATACAAGTTCCTTATCAAGATATGTGATTTGCAAATATTTTCTCCTATTTTATATGTCGCGTTTGCCATTGGTTTAACAATTCCCCTGGTTGATTCTAATATTCAGTCAGGGTTGAAAACCACTACAGCCTAACAGAGTTCTCAAGCTGACAGCATATTAAAGTCATCTGGAAACTTTAAAAACCCTTGATTCCCAGGCCAATGAAATCAGAATCTTTGGGTGTAGGACCCAGACGTCAATATTTTTAAAGTTTCTCAGAGATTCTAATTTGCAGTCAAGTTTGCGAAGCAGTGGCTTAACAGTTGAAACTCACTTTTAATCCTCAATTCATAGGCTTCCACTAGCATTTCCAATCTCATTTCCTCGAACCAAAACCCTCCCCATTAGCCAGATCATTTAGGGCCACACTGTGAGTCCTCATCTCTCTGTACTTTGTTCACCGACTCCACGGCCTACAATGTCTCTCCCTTCTCAGGTCTCAAAATGATTACTCTCTGTTCTACATTTTGAACACCTCTTGCTTCATAGGCTTCCATTTGTTTAACTTTTGATTTGTGTGTATTTCCTGTACACCCCTAGTTCCCAAGTCCCTTTTGAGCAAGGAAAAGGGGTTATGCTTCTTTGCATGATACTGTGCAAACAATAGCATCTCATTAAATAATAAGTGAAAGATGGTGATCAGACTGTACCATTCTTAGCAGCAGCTAGCTCTGCCTAGCATCTCATTAAGTCCTCATTCAAAATCTGTCTCAACAACAACTTTAGCTTCATTTATTATTCATTATAACAAATACTCTCTAAAAGCACTGAAAAGTAAACACGTAAAGACTCAAAAAGTTCAGCCTGTCTTGATAGGAAAATCCAACTCATTTTCTGTTTTGTTGTATCTTGCTTGGCCTTTTTCTGTGCTTACTGAGCAAGAATCACTGGGCCGGTTCTGATTGGAAGAGCCAACCCCAGCAAGAAATGCCAACATCTGCGTTCCTTTTCAGCTTAGGTATCTGTGTTTCTGCCTATTGAGGACTCCAAGAAGTGTGTTTCTGTTATTAATTACTTGAATTCTGTTCTAATGGGCATTCAAATTCTTCCTGACCTTCCTTTGAGAGCTGATGTAAGAAAAAAGATGAGAATAGGACTCCTTTGCAGGGATTTTTTAAAAGCGGGGAGGGGAAGCATGGGCAAGGAAACTGAGTAAGGCTGAAGAGAAATCCTGGACGGTTGCTCAGTGTGGCCTCCTTCTCCCAGCACCCACAGCAAGCTGGAGAGGGAGGGGGGCCAGAGTAGCTCAAGCATCTACACTCCAGTAGTTTGCTTAGTGCCTCTTGCATAACTCAGGGTGAGACACCGTCCCAAGAGGCACTGGGAGAGAGAAATTGATTTCCCAAAGGTAAGCAGGGCTCAGTGACTATCCTTGGGCAGCTCACAATCTGGTGGGAGAAGAAAGATACAAAAACAGACAGTAACTTTAAAAAGAGTGGCAGAGTGATCTGCAAGTGTTTGTGAGGGCAACTGGGGAACCAACTAAGGATTTCTGGAGGAGGTGACTGCTGACCTGAGTCTTAAAAGGATTATGCACACATTGATTCAACAGGTTTTCATGAAGTAAAAGTTATCCTAGCTAAGATGAGTCTTTGTGTTAGGGGGTGCGGGGGAGGTAGGAGAATGTGTGTTGGGGTAGGGGTGAGGTAGGCGACTGTGGGGAAGATAAAGACAAAGAGAAAAAAAAGAATGGTCTAGGCAGAGCAGATGAGGAGGGAAGAAAGAGTATGGCAGGTGTTGGGAATTGCACCTACCTGAATTTGCTGGACCTGAGTTGTAAAAGACAG